CACCACCATATCATCTCCTCCTGCCCACCTCCAAAAAAATCCCAGATCTGTTTTCTGAGATATCACCAGGATATCAGCACACATTGAAACCTTTTATTTCCAGTATACCTGAAGGAGTGTTTCCACCCCCATCGTTCTGCCCGGACACTGAGGTCCAGCGCCGAGGGCCTTCTGGCGGTTCCCTCATTGCGAGAAGCAAAGCTACAGGGAACCAGGCAGAGGGCCTTCTCGGTAGTGGCACCCGATCTGTGGAATACCCTTCCATCAGATGTCAAAGAAACAAACAACTATTTGACATTTAGAAGACATCTGAAGGCAGCCCTGTTCAGGGAAGTTTTTAATGTGTGACATTTTAATGTCTTTTTAATCTTTGTTGGAAGCCGCCCAGAGTGGCTGGGGAAACCTAACCAGATGGACAGGTTACAAATAATAAATTATTATTATTATTATTAATTATTATTTCATAGCTTTTGGTACTGAAAGCCTTAAAGCTGAGATTTTCAAGATGCCGATGCTTTGTTTTATTTACCAAGAGGTTTAAAACAAAACAAAACAGGATGTGATGCATAGTACCATCAAATTAAAACCCACGTTACACCTCTCTTAAAATGAGTGGTCAAAGTTAACCGGAGTGCAGCAATTAATAAAATGGAGATTGAAAGGAAAACTTCTAAAAGTTTCCCCTTGAAAACTGAGGCTGCTGGGACCGTTCACATTTCCTGGGGGAAGGAATGTCGCAACTGCAAGGCCACATCCCCCTTTCCCATGACCAGATTCTTCGTTTGCAGGGAGGTCATCAAAGCGCTTGCGTTGTCACTCCCTAAAGCTCTTCTCCTTCCTAGGAAACCATTAGACTACTAAACCTTGGTGTCTTCAGTTCCCACAGCCATTGCCACCCCCCCAATACCTCTCAGCGCAGCTCTTGTTTCATTCTTCTAGAATCATACATCGCAGACATGATTTGGCCACGGCTGTCAAACAAAAGAAAACTCTGCCCAGTAGTGACACTTCCCTAAAGCTTGCTATTCTCCACTTAAGCTTGATCTGATTTTGCGTATGCATCGGCTATAAAATGTGCCAATTTATGGACATTTACTTAGCGCGTGCCATCTCCTGTTCCTGGATTGCTTCCACCCCACACAAATTTATTTTGCTTGGCTTAGAACGGTCACTGAAGAATTATGCTGTTAACGAGCAAAACAATTTTCAAATGCCTACTTTTTTTTTCTTTGTAGTTCTGGTTTGTCCACAGAGAAATTGAACTTAATCTGATTCTAAATGAGGGTTGGGTTTCTCCTTGGGAAAAATATAGGCCTGTAAAAGTGACGGATTATAGAGAAGAAGTGTTGGATTTTCCAGACATGAAATTATCAGAATTGTCACTTTGTTTATGACATCTTAAAAATGAAGCAACACGATCCTCAGTGAAATTTATCCTTTTTGAAATTGACAGGAAGCCCTCAGTAACACTGTCTCTGGATTCTTAACCAACCTTCCCCACCCAGTAACAGCATAATAATTTGCCAATATTTCATTTAAAACAGTATAAATATTCTGCCCTCGCAATCTGATTTGAGGAGAAATGCTGCGAAAAAGAAATATGTGCACCTTTGTATAAAAAATGGAGTGGATTTTGATGTGGGGGTACAGATCAATGCATTATGAAATGATTTGCTTAGGAATTGTAACTTTTTGTTATTTACTTTTAAATGAGGACCAGGTGAGTTTTATTCAAGGAAGCAGGCTGACAAATAACACAAGGAGGTTGATAAATGCCCTGCGTTACAACTTCCTATTTGGTACTCATTCAGCTTAGTTGTCTCAAGGCATCCTTAATAATTTCCTCTCGCCCTCTCATCTTTGGCAGTTTGCATACTTATTTATTTTGTGTGTGTGTGTGTGTTCGCTAATGCACACAAGGACTAGAGTGAATAAAAGAATGGTGACCCTCTTCCTCTCTGTCAGGGAACAGGGAGCACAGAAAACATGCCAGCTTCCCAAATGTCTCAAACGTGCAAGTTTTAAATACATTTAAAAACCGCAAAGCAAAATGCATCGTGGGGAATCTTTTTTTTTAAAAAGATTTCAAAGCAGCTTGGATATAGGTACATCGTGTGCAGAAGTGGAGGGAAATTGTGTCTCTGGGGTCTTTTTCTCCTGAAGAGGAGTTGCAATAATTTAGCTACAGGATTTTAAATGGCTTAATGTTTCCTCCTGGCTTCGTGTCAAATTGCATCTTCAGTTGGGGGGTAGAGGAGGAATATTTGTATGTTGTGAGCCACCCTGAGATCTACGAAGGGTTGTATACAAATTTTAATAATAATAATGGCATAGAAAAATGGACTTTAAAGTTAATGGACTATTCGGGGCTGGTGAAACTAACAGAAAATTAAGAAACCAACAGGACAGACTATTTATGAAGGAATGGAAGCCCTTTTTGGGATACCTGGGAAAAAATATCAGATGAAATCGCGAGCAGGATTTGAAATGGGAGGAGCGGAAGGAAAACGATAATATTTGAAATAAAAATATGTCTTGGTTGAAATGTTTATTAGAATGCCATTTGTAAGTGGGATGGGGTTAAAAACAGCATGGAGGGAAAGACAGGGAGTTAAAGTTCAAAGACATTTGAAAGTTGGAATTCGTATGTAAAGATTTTAAACTTTAATAAAAAACTGAAACACACACGTGCGTAGGTGGGGGAAGAACTGGATCATTATAATTCTGACAACTTTCATCCAGAGGATTTAGCTGTCGTTCCTCTGGGAAAAGACAAAACAGGTACCAGAGCAGCATTTTTGGAGAAAGCGGAGTGAGAGTGATGAAGGAAGCAACATAATTGGTTTGTGGGGCAGGGAAAGCTCTCTCTCTCTCTCTCTCTCTCTCTCTCTCTGTGTGTGTGTGTGTGTGTGTGCGTTTGTCTGTGTGTGTAGGGAGGAGTGCTGCCTGAACTCGAATGGAAATATTTTGCCCTACTGTGTTTTAATTACGGTGACTACGGCTCGAGAAACGACAACAGTATGGCAAGTGTTAAAAGACGAGGCCGGCTGGCTTTTATACAAGACGCGCCGAGCCTTTGGCTTTCGGACGCAGCCGAGGCTGGCGTAGGATGCAAACGACCCCCAGGGGGATAAAATGGCATCCAGCTAGATGGAAGGGCCTTTCATAATCCGATAGTCTAGCAGCAGTTAATATAGAGAGAACATGTTAAGAATTTATGTGCTTTCATCATATCAGAGAGAGGTGCGGGAGAGAGAAGAGGGGGGATAACAGGGACGGTGGTCTCATAGAACTGGCCTTCCAAAGAGTCACCTCTTATAATTAAAAAGAGGGCTGAGGGGGTCTCTGTTGGAATTCCTGTAATGAAAGTTCATAATACAGAACCTGTTGGGTTAACAGCCGCATCCTCAGAGGGTCGTCATCAGTCTCTGGTACTCTCCTGCATCCCTCGCTAAACACGGAGATCTCCTGTTCTTAGAGCAGGATGCAAATAGGTCGGGAAAGCACTGCACCGTTGAAACAACCGAAACTGAAATTTGCACTGAAATTCAGTGCAAATGCACAATTCTTAATAACGGATTTTGTCAAAGCATTTGTGGCTAGTTTTCTCTCCCCTAGCTCCCCCCTCCCTCTTTCTATTATATGGGCGCTTCCAGACTGTTGCTGTTTTTAGCTGGGATTAAGTAGCATCCTGGCAAATTCAGCTTTCACAATCGTAGTTCATTGAGAAGTCTTGCACAACAAGCCTCCTTCTCCCCTCCCCAAAGATCGGACCTTTTGCAAGAAGTGATGGGCAAATGCACCGAGAAGCAAAACTTGCTTGGGTGCAACATCACTTTACCGCCCCTTGAAGAAATCGGGATGAATTTTTGTAAAATACCCAGTCATCTATTCTCCCTGGGTGAATGTTCAACAAACAGTATGCCTGAATGTGCCCTAAATCCAAGAGCAAGCTTCAAATATGCAGAATTCTCCTTTTGCTCCCGCAATCTTTGTTTGAGAATGAAGCTTAAAACGGCCACGGATGTCGGGATTATAATGTGTGCCTGACTCTTTTCTTCCATGCACATGACCTCTGCCCTTGGGAATAGCCGTTCTGTCGTGCGATTTTCAGCTATCTGCCTGCAAATACGTGTTTCGGGTTTAATGTTGCTAGGAGAAAAAAGAGAGGGGTGTGTGTGTGTGCGTTGCATGCATATGTTTAATTCAACTTGCCGCTTAGGCCAGCCGCAGTTGACTGTGCCCCTTCAAACTGTTTGTGTCCGAGGCTTTGGAAACGAAAGCCAAGTTTGAATTTGGACAAGCAGTTTTGCTCGAAGAGCCAAGTGGGCTTTATGATTTCAGCCGATGCGAGGGAACTTCCCTGCGCATCTTGCCGGAGTTCGTCTGCCCACTAGAGTGCACTGTTGCCTTGCCTTCCACCCGCAGACGCCTCTTGCTCGCTGGAGCAGGGAAGGCCATCTCTGTTTAGTCTGCTCTCGAAGGGTCTCCACATGACCAGTGTGGACCCCATGGACTTCCCAAAACATGTGTTAGCAATTTAGCAGCAGACATTTATTTCTTTGTTTTACTGCCTGGCTCTTGGAGAAAGTGTCGGTGCTGGGTTATGGGCTGTCTGGAGCATGTCAGAGGCCACGGGGATCAAGTTCATGTGACAGGCCAAGCTAAAGGGAAGGATGGAGTCTGAGGAGGTGAGGAAACTGACCCTCTCTCTCTCTCCTCTCTCAGCAGCAACAAATCCTGGCCTGTCTGTGGGCCGCAGCCAAAATTTGGGGCCGTTCGGAGTTCGTGGGGCAGCTGAACAAACAGAACGCAATTCTGGTCTGTTGCTCTGCTGCATCGAACTTCAGATTCAAGTTACTGCCGTTTCCATTTCTCCTTTTCCCTCCCTCACAAAAAAGGGGGACCAACTGAACATCACCCCCCGTCTCTTTCCATCCCCACCTTTAAAAAGTGCTCTTTTACATTCCTTCTCTCCCTCCCTTTCTCTCTCCTTTCAGCTCCATCCAGACGAGGAGACCTTGAAATTCTTGGCTTCTGCATGCTCCAGTGGATGTGTGGGAATCTGCCCTGGGATCGGAATTTGAGGAACCCCGATGCTGTCCGGGATGCAAAAGCAAAGTAAAAACAGAAGCATGATTTATTTAATACGTATTTGGGGGTGTTCTCACCTCCCTCCAAAGCTCAGGGCAGGTTATGATGGTGAAATGGTTGCATGGGGGGAGGGAAGGATCGCAGGGACGTTTGCTTTGTGTGCAGAAGGTTCTGGGTTCGAATGCTGGCAACTCCAGGTAAGGGAACGTCCCCTGTCTGAAACCCTGGAGGAGAGCTGTTGCCATTCAGTGCAGACAACATTGAGGGACCTGCTCCAGTGTTCCTAACTTAAAGAGATAGGTATTTCCTTCAACAATTCCACAAGTCCTAATCTCAGGGTTGCGGGTTCAAAACCCACATTGGGCAGAAAGATTCCGGCATTGCAGGGGTTGGACTGGATGACCCTTGTGGTCCTTTTACAACTCTACAATTCTGCAAAATAGCTCTCAAATGGTCAGGAAACCAGAGAACAGTGCTGGCCGCATTGGGTGTGCATTTCTGGAGAGTGGGGTGAGCATTCTCCCATTGCTAGATTTCCAGAAGACAGATATTAGTGCACTTCATGTTAACGAACGCTCCCTCCCCACACTGCTAAACATGCATTATCTGGAGTGACTCTTAATGTGATTTTGACTCATTTAACTTTCAAGGAACCATGCTTAGGACTGCAACCTCATTTAATTTCCAGTGTATGATTCAGTATATGAAAAGTGCCTTTTCTTTACATAACCACAGAGGTTTAGGAATGGGGAGCAGCTGCGGGGGGTGGGGGTTAAGGTATATTCCTTATTGCAGGGTGAGGAGAGTCACCCCTCTCTTGCATTATCTATTCCAGTGGACAGCTGACAGTCTAAATGAGTTTATGATCAGAGATGCCCGACATAGGCCATTGCATGAGCCCTTGTAGTCTTCGTAGAGAAAGGACACAAATCACCTATAGCTGTTGCTCCACCACTGGGTGGATATGGGCCAGTCTGTCCTGAGTCTTGCTCTGGCTAGCAGGCAGATGACAGTGATTTGTTATCAAATCATTGGGGAGGAATCCATAACTCTGTTAGGATTCTTGCTCCGTGTTTGCAGTCGTGGGATTGTTGTCTATCACATGATGGTGTATGTGATGGAGATAGGATGTTTTGTACTGCTGTGTTCTGGAATGTAGGACTATTGTCCTTTGTTTCTTTCTCTTTGCTGTCTGATGAGAAAGAGGAATGAGCTAAGGCAGAATGCTCCCGGTGTATTATATGTAAATAAAAGTAGATTAGCCAAAATGCTGTGCTACTGAGTTCTGTTACGCAAATACTCTGCAGGGTCCCTAAGCGTGCTAATGCCTTTTGGTATCAGTCGCTGTGATGTTCAGGCTGAAGGAGGCTTTCGAAGCTCCTGAACGACTGACCAGGAGGGAGAGAACATGCCAGTCGGGCATGTGTCTCTGCCAGGGTCCCACATGCAGTAGGATGATCCTAACAAACTCGGCATGCATGAGGCTGCAGGTTCAATTTCCAGCAGCTCCCTTCCCTCAACAACATGCAAATTGAAACACAGGCATCCTATTCTGGATCAGGCCCATCTAGTCTAGCATCCTGTTCTCAAAGTGGCCAAACAGATATTTCAGTGGGAAGCCTGCTAGCAGGATCTGATCACAGCAGCACCCCTCCCTACTTGTAATACTGCTTTCAAAAAATAATTGGTCCTCTTTTCTATGTCTTTACTGATCCTTGTTTATATTTGTGAGACGTCTTGAGTCCCATCAGGGAAAAAGGTGGGGTATAAATACGTAATAAGAATAAAAATCTGGTTGGCCACTGTGAGAACAGGCTCCTGGGCTAGTTGCTAACGTTCTTAATTTCCAGCAATGCCCTTGCAAAAATGTGTATGTTAGGCAAAATTGCATTCAGAACGAAAGGGGAACCAATGGGTACATGTGGTGGTCTTGCAAACTTGTGTGCAAATTTTGGGAAGGCGTCATGGAGGAAATTTCTGAAATAATAGACGCACTGGTACCTTTAAACCCCAAATTACTTTTTTAAAATCCAACTTTGATGAGTCAAATATGGATTAAATTATGTAAACCACTTACAATCGTTGCTATTAGTAGCTGCTCGCTTGACCATATCACAGGGCTGGAAGGATTTCTCGGGGCATTATTATTATTATTATTAAACCAAATATTTAATGTTTATTCTCATTACTAAAAAATTGACTTATAAATTAAGAGTATCTTGAGGTGCAGATAAAGCTATGGATTTTGCCTCTGTTTGGTAGCTGTTTCTAACTTATATGACAGGCCAGTCATGGGGATGGCAAGTTCCAATGAAAAATGACCCTTTTTTATTTTTTTGATATTCATAACATTTGCTTTGTATTTTTCTTTATCAGGTTGGTTTCTCTTGTAACATCTAAATCACTGTAGTCTCTTGAGAATGTACTTTGTTTTATGAAGTATTAACTCTGAACCCTGGTGTGTGTGTGTGTTGTACTGTTTATCCTGCTCGTTTTACTTATTTATGTTATTTCATAATTCTTACCAGGTTGCTATTTTAACTATTATGAAGTTAAAATAGCAGTAAAAAGTCTCAATTTTTTTAATGCATATTGGGAGAAATGCTGCCAAATTTTGGTTAGGACTATTTTTAATAATAATAATAATAATGCGGAAATGTCAGAAACTTGAATTTAAAATTGGGGAAAAAAACCAAGGAATTGAAAATGACAAATTTGTCAATCTCTTCCAGCTTGTTTTTAAAAAATGCTTTTTAAACGCTTGTTTTTTTAAAATGTAAAAATCTGGTGCAAGGTTAGAGCTGGAGAAATAGCACCATTGAAGTATGCAGTGCAAGGCTGGGCTCTGCACATGGTTGATTTCTACATCTGCCCTCACATTTGGCATTTGCTGAGTTGACATCATTCTTCCTGAGAGTCTTTATTTCAGACAGAATTTGATTGAGGTGTACAAATTGCCTATACAGCGGTACCTCGGATTAAGTACTTAATTCGTTCTGGAGGTCCGTTCTTAACTGGAAACTGTTCTTAAACTGAGGTACCACTTTAGCTAATGGGGCCTCCTGCTGCCGCCGTTCCACCTGCTCACGATTTCTGTTCTCATCCTGAAGCAAAGTTCTTAACCCGAGGTACTGTTTCTGGGTTAGTGGAGTCTGTGACCTGAAGTGTATGTAACCTGAAGCGTATGTAATAACCCGAGGTACCACCTCCGGTTGTGAACGGGATCCATTCCGGAGCCCCATTCGCAACCTGAGCAGAATGCAACCCACGTCTGTGCATCTGAGCGTCTGCGGGTCGCGATTCGCCGCTTCTGCACATGCATGTGACGTCATTTTGAGCATCTGCGCATGCGCGAATGGCGAAACCCGGAAGTAACCCTTTCCAGTACTTCTGGGTCACCACAGGACGCAACCTGAAAAGATTTAACCCGAAGTGTCTTTAACCCAAGGTATGACTGGGTTAACCCAAGGTATGACAAGGACGCGGGTGGCGCTGTGGGTTAAACCACAGAGCCTAGGACTTGCCGATCAGAAGGTCAGTGGTTCGAATCCCCACAACGGGGTGAGCTCCCATTGCTCGGTCCCTGCTCCTGCCAACCTAACAGTTCGAAAGCACGTCAAAGTGCAAGTAGATGAATAGGTACCGCTCCGGCGGGAAGGTAAACAGCGTTTCCGTGCGCTGCTCTGGTTAGCCAGAAGCGGCTTAGTCATGCTGGCCACATGACCCGGAAGCTGTATACTGGCTCCCTCAGCCAATAAAGCGAGATGAGCGCCGCAACCCCAGAGTCAGCCACAACTGGACCTAATAGTCAGGGGTCCCTTTACCTTTACCTATGACTGTATAAACCCCACTGTTTTCTCCAGCCCTGGCTGGCTGGCTTGCATGTTGCTTTCACAATAGCCCTGCAAAGATGAACAGGCTATTTATGTCCCAGTGTAATTTAAGACAGCTGTTCATAGCTGAATGAGGATTCGAACCCAGGTTTGCCTAGTCCCAACATGCTGTGTGTGCAGTGTATCACAGTGGCATGCCGGCTTGAATTGATGAAATTTGATCCAGCCTGCTCAGTTCTGCCTTTTTTTCTTTGGTGTGGGATTTTGGCTACTTTGCTGCCAAAAGTCGGGTTTATTTTTAAGCGTGGAATTACATACAGCCCTGCGTATGATCTTTAAGGAGGCGGAACTGGGCAAAGCAAAGAGAAGTCTCTGTGAAATTTGCCTCTTTCTCTCTGTGTCTCTCATATTTCCTATATGGCTGTGATTTCAGCCTGTATATGGACCAGCCCAGGTCATTTTAAGGGTTAAGAATCAAGGGGACCTTGTTGCCTAAAAGCAGTGTTTAAAATCTGTCCATAAACTAAACTTTGGAACAAAGTATTATCTCTGCTCCACCACAGAGCAAATCACGTTAAAAGTTGTTGTGGCTGAAAGCAGAAGAAAGGTAGCTCACTTGTTCCATTGGCTCAAAGGGCATAGCTAGGTAGTTATAAAAATACGTCTTCTGTTCGTAGAAAAATCTCCAAGCAGTTTGCAACAAATTATGCATAAAACCGCACAGTAAAACCATATAAAAAGTTAGAAATCAGCTAACTGTTGCAGAAAGGTGTGTTCCTAATTGCCTGCAGAATAGAATAGAAAAGTTTCCAGCAAGCGTTTAAAAGCAGAGACGGAAAGTGGCTATTGAATCACTGTTGGCAGAGCATCCCATAATTCTGGGTCAATAACTGGGGGGTTAGATTCTTATTGTCAGAGGAACCTCGCCAACCTGGGGAACGGCCAACGACACTCCTGCAGATGATCCCAGGGATCAAGTGCGGATATAAAGGCCATGAATATTTCTGCAGCTTGATCAGGACCATGGACTAGCAGTTAAATTGCATGAAATTAAGGAAGATCAAACCTCTCCATTCTGAAGGAAATCAGCCCTGAGTGCTCACTGGAAGGACAGATCCTGAAGCTGAGGCTCCAGTACTTTGGCCACCTCATGAGAAGAGAAGCCTCCCTGGAAAAGACCCTGATGTTGGGAAA